TTTTTTTTTTTTTTTTTTTTTTTTTTTTTCAGAGGCAACGAGTTGATTTAAAATAGTCAACTGTCAGCTACTAAATATTCTCATATTATGCAATGTTCCTGAACTAAATAACTGCAAGTGATTTACTTAACTCATATAGCTCGCGGCTCGAACAATGTTATTATAAATTAATAAACATTTATTTTATAATTTCATTTAAATTTTTATTTCAGTTTTATAATTTTTAATTGATAACGCTTTAATATTAGATGTTTTTTTTATAATTCATTTAATTATTATATATAGATCAAAATAAATAGTTTTATGAATATTTTTATTATTTTAGTTTAATAATTTTTGTTTTTATTTTCATCATTCATTTAATGTTTAATAAATATAATAATAAAATTAATTTTTGTATACCTCTTTAAATATACTTATTTGATTCTACATTCGCATTTTATCTTCCTCACTATCTCAACTAAATTTTCTAGCTCGGCAACCCTGTTTCCGGCAGCTGCTCCGGCGTGCATTGCTCCATTTTGTGTGTAGGTAAATGCGCGTTAAGCCAAGTCAATGTGTATGCAGCACTCCCTACACAACGCGCCCGCCCACAGGCAGTCCCTACTCCCTCATTGCTGCCTCAACTCTGCTCCTTTTGTAGAGTCCTCGGCATCCACATCCATTATATTCTGATTGTGCGCCTTACGGGCCACACTGCTATATATACACTCATATATATATAAGTGTACGTGTGAGAGTGTGTGCGTATGTGTAGATGGAAAATATTATTTTTCATAAATTTTAAAATATACCATGCGAGGGACCTGGCTAGCCCCCAAAGCCCAGGCGAGAGTCCCTTTGACTGGGCCAAGCTCCGCTGTTAGCTACGTCTCACTCGCACTCACATGCATATATACATATATATAAGCGCATGTGTGGATATATATGTATATGTATATACTGAAGCATACAGATTTGGTAAGCATATATATAAGCACATACACACACACTAGGGAGCAGGCAAAATAGAGGAAAATGTATGCAACATTTTACAATGCAAAAGCCATTTACTTTGGCCGAAGGAAATGGAAAACCCAGAGCGAGCGAAAGCATATGATAAACTTGTGTAAAGGGAAATGCCAGCAGCAGCCACATATGTATATGTATGTATACACATATATTTATATATACATATATATTTGTATGTGTATGTGTGTGGCAGTCAACATATGAAAAATGAAAAGTCACAAACGGAACACAACAACAAGAAAAACGTAAAGTAAAGAAAAGTTGGGCAGTGCCCCGCCCAGCCACCCACAATGCCTTTTATATACATACATATATGACATCTTGTTCCATTGTATTCGCACACACACAGCTGCGTCTTTTTATGTCAATGTAAATAAAAAGAGACAGCAAATGAAATATGTAGACAAAAAAAGTGTATAAAAATATATAAAAAAGTTGGAAAATTCTAAAAGTTATAACAGCTTAGCTGCAGCCTCAACCACCCACACTTTCATGTGCGAAAAAAGAAAATGGGGAGAAAGACGGAAAGAGAGAGAGAGAGAGAGAAAGAGGGAGTGAGAGACAAAGAGAGATGGCGCTCTGCATATAGTCAAATGCTGAGCGGCTTTTTTCTTGCTTTTCTTTTACAGAAACTTTTCAGTAATATTGTCGTCTCACTCTTAGCCATTTCCTCTTTTTATGTGTGCATAAAATTCTGTTTACCTAAAATATTTTTAGGGGGCGTTATTCTAAAATGTTTCTTTTTAGATGGGTGTGGCATAAAACGTTTGTTAGATCGAATTCCAAAGAGCGGTTACTGGGAAAATGAGGTGGAAATCTCTTGGAAATTTCTCACAAGTATAATTAATAATTATTATTATTATAATATAATTTTAATTTACATATGGAATATGTATATATAGTATGGTATTATATATTTTTATTTGTAACTATAAGTCTTGTATTATTATATTATTATTATATCATACATTGAAACAATCCTAAATATTTTATTAAAAACTATTGAAATAAATACATTTAATTAAGATGCTTTTAAAGGGCTTCAAGCGATAGTTTTAGCAAGCTTTATTTAAAGATAAAAACTTTGATTCTCTTAATGCTACCCACATTAACTAAAACTTAATCCGACCCAAAACTAAGTTTAACTCACAAGTTGTGCCAACTATTTTGTCTGCTTAAATATCGAATAGAAAAACAAACTAAAATCCCAATCGATTAGTAAATTTAAGAGAGAAAGAGGCAGAGAGTGAGAGAGGGAGTGGAGAGAGTGAGAAGTGAGAAAAGTCTTAAATGCTCAAATACTTAATGCAAAGCGAAAGCCGAAGCAAAACAGTTACAATTTTGGCAGCGAAACTAAAAATAAACACAGGCACACGCACACATACACAGACAGACAGACAGACAGAGTGAGAGATATATAGACGAAGGCAGGACAATGACAAGCCAAATACAAAAACAAAATAAAGCAACAAGAACAAGAAGCAGCAAAAGCAACAGCAGCAGCGGCAAATGATTTTTGCTAATCAATGAAATTAAAGCCCAAGATGAAATTACAGCAAAAATAATATGAAAGCAAAGCAAAGAGCTTTAACGGGGGTTAACGGCGAAGAGCGACAATGTTAAATGGTTAAAATAGTTGCACGAGACGTCGACGCCGTCGCTGTCGTCGCTGCTGCTTCTTCTGCTGCCGCTGCCAAGGCAACTTTAATGAACGGAAATTAGCAAAGCAAAGCAAAAAGGTAAGCCCGAAAAAAAAGAACTGTCGAAGATGCTGCGCGATGGCGCGGCGAATTGAATGCCTCAAGCTTCTGCTGCTGCCTGCTGTTGGCGGCGAAGAGAGAGAGAGAGAGAGAGAAAGAGAGCGCTTTAAGCACATGCGCGCTGCGAGCGACAAGCGCCAATGCTATTGGCTGTCACACAGCTCTGTCTCTGTGTGTGTGCGTGTGTGTGTGCTTGTATGTGTGAGAGAACGAGCATTTCCCCACTTGCTGGTGATGCTGCTGCTGTTCAAGCATAAACAAACCATTTTGAATAAAATCAGCAGCTTTGTTGCAGGCCCCCATGTGTGTGTGTGAGTTAGTGCGTGTGTGTGAGTGTGGAACGCAAGTGCAGCGCAGGCAAAAGTTGAATGCTTTTGGCTGCCTTTGGCTGCATTTCTCAGTTGCAACGCAGCAATACGCAAAGTCGACGCGACGCGCGCTTTTTGTTACTCGCTGTGCGTATGTGTATGTGTGTCTGTGACAACAACAACAATATCAACAACAAGCAGCAGCATTGAAATCTGCTGCTGCTGCGTCGTCGTCATCGTCCTATGCGCTGTAATTATTTTAATTTATGCGTTTTGTCGCTTTTTACGCTCAGCCGCTGCGGCTGCCATTGGCTTCTGCTGTCACTTCGGCTACTGCTACTGCTGCTGCTGCTGTTGCTGCTGAAGTCGCTTCTTCTTATATCGACTTTTTTGTTGTTGTTCGGGCTGACATTCACATTTTGACAGGCAGCGAATAATTCGCGGTTCTGCATCGCCAATTCGCCCTGTCAATTCTTTCCAGCTGAAGTTGGTTACTTTTTTGTTCGGCTTTTGATTTCCCATAGCCAAGTGACAATTTTTTCTTTATCGTCACATAGGGACACACGTACGCACCATAGAAATGCATTGATTTAATTTAATATCAAACGGGTGGTATACGTAATATTTGTAAAATGCATGCCGTCGGCAAAAACTGAGAAAAATGCTTTAAAATTCGTCATTTATATGAAATTTAAGTTGATTTTACAAGGTAGAATTTATGTTCCGATTAATTAGATCAAATAGAAAAATATTTTGAATATGAAAAGATAATTTAAAACAACTTTTAAGAATTTCACAATTCGTAGTTATATTAAATTTTAAAATGAAATTCATAAATTTAATAATCACCATGAAATATGCTAAAAATATTATTTTCATACAAAAATGTAGAGAAACAAGAAAAAATTGAAAACATAAATAAAATTTACTTTATAGAAATATTGAATTTAAATTACTGATCAGAATCGTATATATAATATTATATGTAAATATGGTATGTAGAATATTTTAGTTAGTATTTAAGTTTTAATTATTTTAAGGACTTTAAAATTTTTCTTTTATTTATTAATTTCAATTTTTAACTTATACATATTTATATAAACAAACTTAATTTCTTGTTCCAAATATGAAATTTTGTCTTTTATACGATGGCCCATGGAAAACTGCAAATCAATTTAGCTCCCCAGTGTGTTCCTTTTTGTTTGCTCCCCCTTACACCCAACCAAAAGCGCTCAATACACACTCGCACACACACACATACACATACAAATCTGATAAGAGCCACCCGCCCACACACACACACACAGAGGCCACCCACACAATATACGCTTTTGATTTTAAAACCTCGTGCGCGAAGAAACGTGCAGAAAAAAAAATCTGCGCCCAACTCCCTGAACGCCAACGAATCTCCAAGTCCAAGTCCAAGTCGGCAACGTCGACGTCTCAGTTGCAGTCACCGCCGCCGCCGACGCCGACGGCAGCGTCAGCGTCAACGTTGCGCCCTCCCCACAGAGCCACCTGCTGACTATACAATACACTCACACTCACACACACATGCACATGGTTAGCCAAAAGCTCTCACACTCACACACATGCGTGCAGCTGCTGCGCTGCCCCCAACATCTTCCACTCTTTGTGTGTATGTGTGTGTGTGTGAGTTTTTTTTGCGCGCGCTTGACAATTCGACGTCGACGTTGTTGTTCCTTCGTTGGTTTTTTTTCTAACTGTTTTATTTTACTTTTTTTTTGCTCATATCTTGTGGCGTTTTTTTAAGTCAGTCGTTTGTCGGAAGTCAATCAAAAAGCGTGTCTCGCTCACACAAGCTCCACACACAGGGCGTGAAAAGCAGCAACAATAACAACAACAACTGCAACAGCAGCAGCAACCGTAGTCGCGGCGTCGTCGTCGCCATTGCAATTAAATTTAACCCGAAAAAAATCGGCGACAAACAATTAAATTAAATATCGAATTCGAATTCGAAAGGTGCGGCTAAAAGCGATCTGTCAGCGAGTGTAAGTGAATGCTACTATTTACGTATGTGTGTGTGTATGTGCATGACTGCATGAGTGGCTGCGAGTGTGTGTGTGTAAGTGTGTGTTACGCCTTCGCCTTCGCCTTCGTTTGCTGATCTTTTAATAGATCTTTCCTTCGATTAGGGCACTTGTTGACATATTCTCAGCTTGTTTCACTCACTTATTACCGTTAATGAGCCTTGGCCGTAGCTGTGGGTGTGTGTAAAAGCTACTTGAGTGACAACAAGTGCTCAAAGGTATCCCTCTCTGAATTCCTACATAGACCTCAGCAAAAGGCTAGGAGCCAAAAAAAAAAAAAAAAAAAAAAACTTGATTTAAACAATTTTAGTTCAAAATCTATTTCAAATGTTTTTGTTCAAAAACCTTTCATTGTTTCGAGGTAAAAATATTTTACAGAATTTATTAATTAATTAATTTCATTTCTTTTGGGCTACACAAAAAGTTCTTGAAAGTAAATGCTTGTCCTTTTCTAAACTTTTTTTGAGTCTAATATATTTTTAAAATCAAAATTTAAAATGTCTACTAACATTAAATTAAATTTCAGTGACATTCCAATTAGTGTAGTTAGATAAAAAAAAAAAAAAAGTTAAAAAGGAACATTTTAATTGGACTTCAATTAACTAACAGTATCTTATCTCTGGACACTATTTCAGCAGAAGCAGCATTTCAAAGAAATCATTTAACTTTTGTACATTGCAGTCGAAATAAAATTAAAGCACAAATTAAAAAATACCGATTTTTTTAAAAATATTTTTTATAAATTTTAAAAATTCTTATTTCAAATTCTTACAGCTAGAAACGCATTTGTATGTACAAATTAGAGAGAGCAAATTCATATTTTTTTTTAAGATTTAACTAGGATTTTTAGAGTTTGTTTTAACTAGAGCAATAGTTAAAGTTTTAACTAGAGTTTCAACCAATAATTAAAAACAACTATTAAGAAAATGGGCTGACTCATTAAAAAAAAATGTAGTTTAAACTACAACAGTCAAAACTCTTACAGCTGGATGTATTTAAGCCTCATTCCATTCATTCATTAAGAATATATTAATATATGGAAATTAACTTTGGTACATCTCTTTTTTTAAATTTCGTTATATTTTTTAGAAATTATGTCGAATGTATCATTTTTTCGCTTTAATCAATATCACATGCTTTGAAATATAATTTAATTACATAATCGTCTTAGTTTATACGCCACAGATAGCTACACTAATACGTCAATCAAAGTTGTAAAATTTAAAATTGAAAATACAATATCTTTATAATGTGCAGAAATACATTTATGAAAATAGCGCTCGCAAATTAACAGCTCAACAAATCGCCAACGACAATGGCAACGAATTGTGTTTAATTTTAAAACAAGATTAACTACAAACAAACAAAAATATCGAACAAAATATCAATGAGAACTAAAAATAAACGCAACTTATCTAAACAGAGCCGAAAAATCAGGTGAATGAGGCAGAAACATGAAACAAATGGCAACAATTGAACAACATAAATAAAGAAATAAAAGAACAAAGCAATGCGAAATAATTTTTATTAACAATTATTGAGTAGACAGAAAAAGGGAGTAGGAGAGAGATAGAGAGACAGCGAGAATGAGAGAGAGTGCAACAAGTCGGAGGCCTTTGAAGTGCAGCGGCGGCTTCTTTAACATCGAATGCGAGAGACTCGCAACAATTGCTTGCTGACATGCAAAGTACATAATGTTGTAGCAGAGCCCACCTGGTCGCCCCCTCTCCACTATCACCTGCGCCCAGCTAGCGCCTTGATTGATAACAATCGAAAGAACTAAGTTATGGGTCCATCCGAGCGGGCACTTTGCCACAGAGCGCAATTTGCGCTGTCGATTGATTTGTTTACAAGTGCCATTAATGTTACTCTCCCTTCCCGCGTCACCGGCCCCACTGCCCCACCGCCAGCACCACCAGCAACAGGTGTATGTAAATGCCTCCCTTTGCGCCGTTGCCGAACAGCATTTCCATAGACAGCTCGATCGAAACGCATTGCACTCACCTTATCTAATCAGAGCAAATGTGTTTGAATACACTGGGAGAAAAAATATAGTGATTCTTAAAGGAAATATATATCAAATTTGCTTAAATACTTTACAAAAATATAATAATTGGAAACTAAAAATTCATAACAAAATCAACTTTTCTGACAAAATAAAATTTTTTATTTAAATTTGATTTTATTCATGAAAAAAAAAAAAATCAAATTGATTTCTGATTTAAATTTTTAAATATATTTGGGAAAGTTTGGGTTAACTTTAGTTGTTTTAAAAATTTTACAAATAATATCAATATCTATAATATTTTTTATATAAACAATTTTTTTGGTATATACAAAAAAAAATTTTTTAGCATAAATTAATAAATTTAATGCTTCAATTCCTGATACTTGTATAAAAAAAACTCAAATTTTGTTTTTGTAAGTGCACAATTCATATAGCATTTAGATCTTCTAGAGGGGTCTACGATGTTTTCTCACCCTACGGTCTTTACGTTTTGATCGCCGCAAAGTCCAATTGAGAAACATGAATTGTTGCTGTAGTTTAATTTACCGATTCCTTTGATTTTAACGCCATACTAAAGACAGAGAGAGGGAAGCCTCTTTCCCACTCCCTGGCATTCCCTCTATCACACACTCCTCTACACTGCGCTCTTATCATTGCGACTTCAATTTGTTTTCAATTTACAACAATTTGGTTTTTAAGTATTTGTAAATATGATTTGTCACTTTGCGTTGTTTGCATAATATAAAATGTCATATTACTATTTCTGTTTTCGGTTCTGTTCTCCTTTTCCTATTAATTTTATTTTGCTGTTATATTTGCTTTTATTAACGTATGATACGCGGCACACTTGTTGAATTTATTGAACTGTCTAGCCATCGAAGTGAAGGGCTTAGCTATTTCTCGGAAATGGATAGGGAAATATTTTACATTTTAGATAGTGTGCAACCTACTGAAATATAAGTAAGTTTCCATTTTTCATTTTTATTTATTTATTTTTTTTTATTTTTTATTTTTTTATTTTTTTTTTTGCATTCGCTTTAATTTATGAGAATATTTACTTGAAAACAATAAAAAAAAAAAAAAATAATGTTTATAGTTAATTTCCTCCTGCATATGATTCAACTTTTCTCACATATTGACCAGCCACTTGTTGATAATTTTTATGATATTATTGGAGCTCAATTTCAGTCGGCTAGCTCTATGCAAACTTCCGCTCAACAATTTGTTAGTAAATAGCAATAATGAACACCATTTATAAATAAGTTACCCATTCACACTCGCGTCATATGACGGCTCACGTGCAATGCAACGGGTGCTTAAAGATTCTCCGATCCAGACGTTTTAGCTGGTCAGTTACACCAGAAATCGCATTTTAGAGGCGACAAGGCAAGTGTTTCGACAGCAAATCAATTACTTTTCTTATCGTGACACCAAAATCGCCAGAACGCAAATGATAGAGTAGAGCACCATAAGTGCACGTAAGAAGAGAGAGAGAGAGAGACAGAGCGAGAGAGAGAGTAATTAAAAGAAAGAGAAAGAGAGAGAAAAAGAAGGCACCTGCACTTGAAGAAAACATTCTAGATGTGGTAATTAAAACGATTTGAAGCCTTTAAAAAATAAATATGAAGTTTTGTAGACACAGAGAAAAATCTAAGTAAGTGAAATATTCCGAGAATCAGAAAGATAAAGGTTAAAAAAGGCGAGCTGACGACATATAGGATAAAAGCATAGCGAGAGAGAGAGAGAGAGGGAGGGAAGGAAAGAAAGGAAGAGAGAGAAGCAAGATGCAAAGAGAAAGAGGGATAGAGAGAGAGAGAGAACGATATAGAGATAGAGATAGAGATAGAAGGAGAGGGACGGAGAGAAAGTGATAGACAGGCAAAGATAGCGGGGGTGAGAGAGAGAGAGAGAGAGAGAGCAGGAGAGAAAGAAAATATGACGAAGCAGAAGGAACAGAAGGCGAAAAAGAGAGACATAGAGAAATAACAATTAAGAATGAAGCAGAAAAGAGATTCAGGAAATTCCCTATCAACCTTAAAAGCTAAGCTGGAGAGAAAATAAAAGAGAGAAAAAGTAACGAAAGCAAAGAGAAAGAAAGCAGAAAATTTAATAAAAGCGATTGAAAGAGAGGGAGAGTGAGAGAGAAGAAGAAGAGATGTACGTACTCTTAATGGCGACTTTGAGTTTCCTTCATCTACTTTTCACATATTTGAAGCTGTATGCAAATCATTTTCATTCTCAAACAACTTTAATTCCCAGTTGATTCAAACAATTTAGCGCAATTAGCGACATTTCAAATATTTATAAATGAAAACTTGTTTTTGCTGATCTTCATGCATTTTCGCTGAGTGTAGTTGTTAACAGGAGGGTTGCAACTGTTTTTAATAACAACATTTTAAAAAGCACTTAACAGCAAATTAAGCTTTCAGCGAGCAACTGACAATGCCAGCAGCAGAAGCAGCAAAAAGAAGACATTTTTAATTATCAACCATTTACAGGCAACGGCAGCAGCAACAACAGCAACAGCAACAACAACAACAACAACAGCAACAGCAACAAAAATTGCCATGGAAAAAATTGCTGCTGGTGCATGGGTCAATATCATAATCTGAGGCAGCAACAAGTTGTGGCAGACAGCAAGGCAAGGCGAAGGGGCAAGCAACGAGCGTCATAAATCAAAGCGACGCAATTTGCTGCCTGACGAACTGCAACAGCAGCAGCAGGAGCAGCAGCGGCAGCAGCAGGCATCAGCTATGCCATTATTGCTGGCAACACTTGGTCAGCAACAGCTGCAGGCACAACAGCAGCACCAACAATCACAGCAGCAGCACCAACAGCAGCATCAGCAGCAGCCCCAACAGCATCAGCTAAACAATTCCCATCGTCCAACAGCAACAGCAGCAGCAGCGGCGGCAGCAATGTTGTTGCTGGAGACAGCAGCAGCAGCAAAGACAACGTCGGCAGTAACTGCAACAGCAACGGCAACACACACGCCAATCATTGCTGCACTTGCAACAACTCCATTGCCGGCAACGGCAACAGCAACAACAACAGGTGTTAATGTTCAAATTACTGCCAAAGGCGTTGCTCGCTACGAGTCTTCAGTCAATGATCAACTGCCAGCAGCCGCAAATGTGGCCGCATCTGTTAATTATGCCGCATACGTAGCCCATTTGAATGGCCTAAAACACAACAGCAGCAACATCAGCAACAGCAACAACAACAACATCAGCCAAAGCCCACCTTCTTACGAGAGCAGCCTGCTCCCACGCCAGCCTCACATTCAAGTCAAGCAGGAATTCATGGAACCAGCGGAGCACATGGAGCATCCCACCGGAATGAATCACATAAATGGCAACAACAACAGCAACAACAACAGCAACGCCAGCAATAAGCAAACAGGTGAGTAACTTTCATAATATTACAAATGCAAATTGGACGGGAATTGTCAGTATAATTTTATAATAAAAACGGAAACCACTTAGAACTTTTTATTAATATAAAAAAATAATAATAATAATAATAATAATAATAATAATAATTACTCTCAATAAAATTTTTAGCCCATTTAAACGTTTACTATTAAATTTTTCAATAATTAACTATCACAATTTATTCAAAATCAATATTTTCTCTTACTTGCAATTGAAAATTCGAGTGCTTTAGTAGTTAACTAGTTGCTTCCCTTCCCCCTCCCCCCATTCATTTGCTATGCCGGACACAATCAAATAACATACATATGTAGTTAAAAAGCCGTTAAGTGAAAAACGAGGTATTTACAATGTGCTAACAACAACAGTTTGCCATTTTTCATGGCCTTAAACCCTTTTCGACGAGTGGCCCTCGCACGCCTTATGCCTCGTGCCAAAAACGCATGCTTATGAGATTTCTCAATTTTTTATGCGTTTAAACAGATTTCATTTTTTTTATTGGGCCGTTACCCTTAAGGAGCAAAGAAAAAAAAAAATATAAAGGCAAAAGGTCGACGTCATCATCTTGATAGAGCCAAAAAGATGTCACACAAGGGACACCAAGACCAAGAAGCTGGCTAATATTGCGAAAAAGGACTGGCAAGGACTCGCCGGCAGACAGACACGAGTGCCAAACATTTATGAAGATTGAAAGGGTTGTCAAACACTTCATCCATCTTAACCGCGACCCAAGACATAAAAAAGGGGCTGCGTAGAGAGAAAGAAAAAAGGGTGCAACGAATTCTCCTGTTGCTTGAAGGGGGGAAAAACATCTTGTTTTCTTTCGATTATTGAAATTGTCGGCAATGCCCTATAGATGAGCTTGCTCTCTCTCTCTCTCTCTCTCCTTATCTTTCTCTTTTTCTCGCTCGCTGTCGACCCTGAAGAGCTCTAAATTGTTTTGCACGCACACGTGACCTCAATTGTATTTAAAAACCAATACCCCCCTGTCTCAATCTCTATCTCTATTTCGCTCTCTTCATCTACCTCTCCTTTACTATTTAAATAAGCTTCATTAGCGTAAACTCTTGAACCACATTCATCTTCATATTCAAATCCATTTCCTCAACAATTGGAATAGGAAATGCGTTCCTAACATGCAAAACCTACAAACGTCTTAAAGTGAACCAATTATATGAAAAAAAGGAAAAATATTTAATGTAAAACAATGTTGTAAAATACCCGAAAAAGTAACAAAAATAAAAAAAAATGTAGAGATTGGGCAAAGCAGACAAAGTGAAGAGTTAGAGCCAACACGCGACCGGAAATTGCGAGCAATTTAACCAAATAAAACTTGACCGAAGCGTTTTTACCCATTAAACCAACAGCTTAACAGAAGGTATATCACCCTTTGTGAGTAAATTCGTAACAGGTGGACGGAAGAGAGATGGGAAACTAAATGAAAGGAATAATGGAACCAATAGTTAAAAATATATATATATATATAGATAGATATGGAAACATATAAATGATAGTTAATAGAAGAGAATATAGATGGAAAAGTTTCATAATTACATATGGATTTACATATTATTTGTTCTACATATATATCTATAAACTATATGTATGTTATTCCTTCAAAAACTCTGCTATAGAAAATTTAATAATATATATACCTATGTAAGAGAAGTGAAATTTTAAATTGTATTCCCTTTTCATATTGCGGAATCTATTTCAACTTTTTATTCATTAAACATACTTCAATCTACAACGTATCGGTTAGTCAGTCAACTTCTCCCCCCATCTTTATACTTGTCTATTGATCATTTTTTGTATTTTTTTTCCATTTGTCTCAATGGCGTATTATGAGCTGCTACTAACTCGGCCATTACTGTTAGCTGCCTCCCCTCCCACCTACCGCTGCCTCTATAATAATTTACCTCAAATGTGCAGCTAGTTGCATGTACAAATAGCACTATATGACGTCCTCCTGCAGTAGCCAAACTTGGCGCATCGAGCTCTCAGCTCTCAGCTTTCTCAGTTGGTCAAACGAAATGTCTTTCTGTCCGCTTAGCCATGGGAACCAAATGATGAGGAACGATGGCGCCTAGTTGCCAGATGGTTTTGAAGAAATGCAATAACAACGATACAGGTTGAGGCAGCATTGAAAAATATAGATACCACAAACATGAAGATACAGATACAGATACAGATACAGATACAGATACAGATACAGATACAGATACAGATACAGATACAGATACAGATACAGATACAGATACAGATACAGATACAGATACAGATACAGATACAGATACAGATACAGATACAGATACAGATACAGATACAGATACAGATACAGATACAGATACAGATACAGATACAGATACAGATACAGATACAGATACAGATACAGATACAGATACAGATACAGATACAGATACAGATACAGATACAGATACAGATACAGATACAGATACAGATACAGATACAGATACAGATACAGATACAGATACAGATACAGATACAGATACAGATACAGATACAGATACAGATACAGATACAGATACAGATACAGATACAGATACAGATACAGATACAGATACAGATACAGATACAGATACAGATACAGATACAGATACAGATACAGATACAGATACAGATACAGATACAGATACAGATACAGATACAGATACAGATACAGATACAGATACAGATACAGATACAGATACAGATACAGATACAGATACAGATACAGATACAGATACAGATACAGATACAGATACAGATACAGATACAGATACAGATACAGATACAGATACAGATACAGATACAGATACAGATACAGATACAGATACAGATACAGATACAGATACAGATACAGATACAGATACAGATACAGATACAGATACAGATACAGATACAGATACAGATACAGATACAGATACAGATACAGATACAGATACAGATACAGATACAGATACAGATACAGATACAGATACAGATACAGATACAGATACAGATACAGATACAGATACAGATACAGATACAGATACAGATACAGATACAGATACAGATACAGATACAGATACAGATACAGATACAGATACAGATACAGATACAGATACAGATACAGATACAGATACAGATACATACAGATACAGATACAGATACAGATACAGATACAGATACAGATACAGATACAGATACAGATACAGATACAGATACAGATACAGATACAGATACAGATACAGATACAGATACAGATACAGATACAGATACAGATACAGATACAGATACAGATACAGATACAGATACAGATACAGATACAGATACAGATACAGATACAGATACAGATACAGATACAGATACAGATACAGATACAGATACAGATACAGATACAGATACAGATACAGATACAGATACAGATACAGATACAGATACAGATACAGATACAGATACAGATACAGATACAGATACAGATACAGATACAGATACAGATACAGATACAGATACAGATACAGATACAGATACAGATACAGATACAGATACAGATACAGATACAGATACAGATACAGATACAGATACAGATACAGATACAGATACAGATACAGATACAGATACAGATACAGATACAGATACAGATACAGATACAGATACAGATACAGATACAGATACAGATACAGATACAGATACAGATACAGATACAGATACAGATACAGATACAGATACAGATACAGATACAGATACAGATACAGATACAGATACAGATACAGATACAGATACAGATACAGATACAGATACAGATACAGATACAGATACAGATACAGATACAGATACAGATACAGATACAGATACAGATACAGATACAGATACAGATACAGATACAGATACAGATACAGATACAGATACAGATACAGATACAGATACAGATACAGATACAGATACAGATACAGATACAGATACAGATACAGATACAGATACAGATACAGATACAGATACAGATACAGATACAGATACAGATACAGATACAGATACAGATACAGATACAGATACAGATACAGATACAGATACAGATACAGATACAGATACAGATACAGATACAGATACAGATACAGATACAGATACAGATACAGATACAGATACAGATACAGATACAGATACAGATACAGATACAGATACAGATACAGATACAGATACAGATACAGATACAGATACAGATACAGATACAGATACAGATACAGATACAGATACAGATACAGATACAGATACAGATACAGATACAGATACAGATACAGATACAGATACAGATACAGATACAGATACAGATACAGATACAGATACAGATACAGATACAGATACAGATACAGATACTTACTAAAGCAATAAGAATACCCTCTAACAATTATATAAAAACAAGTGCGCTCTAAAGCCGGAAACTCCAAAATATATTTGAATCCGCATCCTATGGGGAAATGGAAAATACGGAACGACAAAAGGAAACGGCGTCAGACTCAACAAAAACGTCAGAAATACCAACATTTCATTTAAAGATCTATGAAACCACAAAAAACAAGATCAAGGCAGCTGCCAGCATGAAGAAGAAGCAGAAGCAGAAAAGATGCTCGCGATCGCCGCTTGAATGAAAATAATTATGATAATTGCAACTGCTGCTGCCACTGCTGCTGCCGCTGTGTAGTGGGCAAACTAATTGTAGGCTCGGGTTCGAACCGCAGATCGAGTCGACAACAGAAACTGAAGAAGTTTCGTTTGATGGATAGAAATCGTGTAGGGAAAAACTCAATAAATCCATTGTTGCGCTTAATTATTGTCGAAATTCAAATCGAGTTACCTGTACAGGTACCTGTAACCCCCTTCACACAACATGCTTGTTTCTCCTACCTGTCTGTTTTCTTTTCCCTCTCTCTGTCTCTATCTCTCTTCTAAAAGATCATTTATCTTCGTGCGATGCGCAAAATTTGAATGCATCCG